GCTGATGGAGGCAAATGCTCCTTAAAAAAAAAAAAAAAAAAAAAAAAGATGTCTGGGCTTAGTGGCTTGTGTCTGTTGTGTCAGCTACTTGGGAAGCTGAGGCAGGTGGATCACGTGAGCCCAAGATGTTGAGGCCAGCTTGGGCAACAAAGGGAAACTCCACCTCAAAAAAAAAATAAATGGATAAAAATAAATTAAAAATTAAAAACATTGATGATGTAAATAGCAAAGTTTCTGTTATATTGCTAAGAAAAATTCAAGAGCTATATAAATAAAGAAATATACCATGTTCTTCAAATGGAAGACTCAATACTGTCAAGATGTCAATTATCTGATAATTGGAATTTTTAAAAAGAGAGTCTAAAATTAGATACCCATGTAAGACCACTTGATTTGCTGCATGCGACAATGGAAAACAAAAGGTATTTTCAGTTAATGGTGCTGAAACAACTGGATACTATCTGGAAAAAAAAAAATGAACCTGGGCCCCTTTCTCACACTGTACATCAAAATTCATTCAAGATAAGTCATAGACCTAAATGTGAAAACTAAAACTATAAAGATTTTAGAAGAAAGCATATGAGAATATCTTCAGAACTGTGAGATAGCAAAGATTTCGTAGAAAGAAAAGGAAGTCATGAGCTATTTTAAGAGTTTAAAATTGGTAGCTGGGTGCAGTGGTGCACACCTGTGGTCCCAGCTACTTGGGAGGTTCAGGAGGGAGAATCACTTGAGCCCAGGAGATCAAGGCTGAAGTGAGCTGTGATCACGCCACTGCACTCCAGCCTGGGCAACAGAGCAAGACCCTACCTTAAAAAAAAAGTTGGTCAATGGACTAACTTAGGCACTTTATAAAAGAAGATATACGAATAGCCAAGCATATAAAAACATACTTAAAATCAATAATCCCCAGGGAAGTGCAAATTAAAACTACCGTATGACACCAGTACACATCCCTGAGAATGGCTAACATTGAAAGGACTAACCATCCTTCCCAAGTATGGGAAAGTATGTGAAACAACAGGGCTCTCATACATTGCTAGCGGGAGTATTATCCAACTGCTTTAGAAAACTGCTTGACATTTTCTCTTAAAGTTAAACATAACCATAACATACAACCCAAAGATTTCACTCCTAGGTATACACCCAAGAGAAATGAGGGCATATATCCCCTCAAAAAAAAAAATTGTACAAGAATATTCATAGCAAGCCAGGCATGGTGGCTCACGCCTGTAATCCCAGCACTTTGGGAGGCCAAGACAGGCAAATCACTTGAAATCAGGAGTTTGAGACTAGCCTGGCCAACACGGTGAAACCCCGTCTCTACTAAAAACACAAAAATTAGCCAGATGTGGTGGTGCACACCTGTAATCCCAGCTACTCAGGAAGCTGAAGTAGGAGAATCCCTTGAGCCTAGGAGGTGGTGGTTGCAGTGAGCCGAGATTGCACCACTATACTCCAGCCTCAGCGACAGAGCAAGACTGTCTCAAAAGAAAAAAATATATATATATTCATAGTGTCTTAGTCATAATAGCCCAAAACTGGAAGCAATATAAATGTCCAGCAACAGGAGAATGGATTTTAAAATTGTAATAAATTTATTCAATGTGATTAGTAAAAAGGAATGAACTACCAAATGAATTGTGTACAAAAATATACATAAATCTTTTTAAAAAACATTATGTTGGGAGAAAGAGGCCAGACACAAAAGAGTACACACTATTGTTCCATTCATATGAAGTTTAAGAACAGACAAAACTAATTTGTGGTATTAGAAGTCACAATAGTGATTTTCTGTGTGGATATTGACTGGAAAAGTTCATGAAAGAACTTTCTAGGGTTCTTTCATGCACAGAAATATTGTATATCTTGATCTGGGTGCTGATCACAGGGGATATACACATGTAAAATGTCTATCAGCTTAACTGTAAGCTTTGTGAATTTTACTCTATGTAAATTAACCCGCAATAAAATATTAGTAAAAAAAAAGTAGTGTAAAATTTTTTTTTTTTTTTTTTTGAGCTAGGGTCTTGTTCTGTTGCCTAGACTGGGGAGTGCAAAGGCACTATCATAGCTCAATGCAGCTTCTACCTCCTGAGCTCAAGTGATCTTCCTACCTTGGACTCCCATGTAGCTGGGACCATAGGCACATGCCATGAACCCAGGTAATTTGGTTTTTTATTTTTTGTAGAGACAGGGTCTCACTATGTTGCCCAGGCTGGCTCCAACTCCGGGGTCCAATGGATCCTCCCAAAGTGCTGGGATTACAGGTGTACAGCCACCATGCCTGGCTAAAGAATTTTTTTAAAAACATAGAAGCAGATGAGGACTGTGTACCCAGCCTGCGCCTGCCATTCTTCCTCCCCTGTGCCCCCCGAAAGAAGTCATGGAAGCAAGTGCCAGAAAAAACTGTCAAAAGACTTTAAAGTTGTTGCCACTCTTTTTCATAACAAATCTTTTAATACTATTTGACTTTTCATGTATTTGATTTTAAAAATTCAAAATAATTTTTAAAAAATTACCTCCCCCGATATAGCCAGGAGGAGATGCCGTTGTCTGACACAGTAATTGTTCAGCAATGATTTATGATATGAAGGAAAGGAAGGAGGGAAAAAGGAGGGAGGACAGGCCCTGTTGCAGGTGTGATATTTTGGTGGTAGACTACTGATGAAGGGTCTGTTGATAGAAGATTCCACATCATTGGCTAAACAGTTCTGCCTTCTTCTCCACCAACCTCATGCCTCCCCCAACTCCCACCATAGCACTACATTACTAAGTGTCATGAACACTCAGAATCAAGGTGGTAGTCACTGGCCAAGTGCTGGTGAGTCCCTTTGCCTCTATAGGTTTTAGTTCACCTGAAAAGGAAACCAGGAACTAGGCGGCCTCATGGGTCCACTGAATCTAAACTGTAAGGATTCGCTCCTTAGGGTTCAAAGCTCTGGTACATCCTGTTCTTTAAACTATCAGCCTGCATTCCCCTTGGAACTTACCAGCTAAGGAGGTTTCACATAAAACGTTTTCCAAGGAGCTGTGTCTACCCTGGCTGGCCTCCTTGAGTTTATCCGGGTGGTCTTTGGTGACGTATTCTTCACCCCATTCTTTACCATCCTTAGGCTGCCTCCACATGCCAGATGGGAGATGGCCCTTGGGCTGGATCTCAGCCGAGAGGCAAGACTTGAGATTTTCTTCTGCTTCTGGAGTTGTTGGGTTCACTCCTGGTGTTGCAGGGGAAGACAGGGGGAGACAAACAAACCTGCTATCAAAATCTTTTTTTAAATTTTGTTTGTTACTTTTTTTTTTTTTTTTTTCTTGGAGACAAAGTTTCACATTTGTCGCCCAAGCTGGAGTGCAATGGCGTGATCTTGGCT